CTGGGGACACTGGGATGGCTGGGGGGGCACAGGGGTGACTGGGAGGGCACAAGGGGGACACACATGGGGGTCTCACGGGGGTGACTGAGGGGACGCAGGGATGGGCTGGGGACACACACGGGGGGCACAGGGATGGGCTGGGATGGGCAGGGGGCTGCAGGCAGCGCTGGGTGATCTCTGTGGGATGCCAGGGGACATTTTGGGGGTGATGGAGGTGGCTGAGTTGGGGGGGGAGGGGGGGGGCTCTGCTGGGTGTTGGGGACCTCCCCGCTGTGCCCTGGTGCCCCCCAGCCAGACAGGGCCGGTCCCTGTCCCGTGACCCCGGGGGATCCTTTGGGATCCGGTGACCCCGAGTTGGGATCCTTTGGGATCCGCTGTGCCCCGCACGGCCCCGGCCCCACAGCGGGGCTGGCACAGGATCCGTGGGGCCCTTTGGGGATCCAGCATGACCAGCATGGGATCCCAGCGGGACCGGACCCTGAGCCCGGCACCGATCCCCGGGATCCCAGCGGGACCGGACCCTGAGCCCGGCACCGATCCCCGGGATCCCAGCGGGACCGGACCCTGAGCCCGGCACCGATCCCCGGGATCCCGGCAGATCCCACACACGCTGTCGGGATCCGCTGCCCGCGCAGATTCTCTCGCTCCTTTCAGGGCTGCCAGGCCCCAGAGCAGGACCCTGGGCAGATCCAGAGCAGAACCCCGGGCAGATCCAGAGCAGAACCCCAGCGCCGGGAGGAGGCTCGGGGCAGATCCCGGGCAGATCCCGGGCAGATCCCGGGCAGGTCCGGTGGGAGCAGATCCCCACGATCCGGCGTGGGATGCGCGGCTCAGTCCGGAGGGAGCCCCGCGGAGCTCCGGGATCCATCGCTGGCACGGCGGGAGGGCGGGGCCGGGCCGGGGGGCACCGGGGGGCACCGGGGGTCAGGGACATCCCCCGTCCCGGCGCCCCGTGCCCACCTTCTCCTGCAGCTTCTCCATCTCCTCCTTGTGCGCCAGCTCCGACTCCTCCAGCACTCGCCGCTGCGCCGTCTCCTTCTTCAGGAACTCGATCTCCCTGCGGGGACCACCAGGGGTGAGTGCACGTCCCCAAACCTGGGGACAGCCCTGGGGGACCCCGGGGTTTGGGGGCCCGGGGAGCTCCCAGAGGATGGGTTGTGCCCGGGGATGCTCAGGAAGGATCAGGGGGTCCTGGAAGGGTTTGGGTTTGGAAGGAGCTCAGAGCTCACCTGTGGGCAGGGACACCTTTGGGAGTCCCCAGGGTGGGGCCGTGCCAAAGGGAGGGTCCCCGCTGATGGACAAAGGGTGCCCAGAAGGGTTTGGCACCTCAGGGATGTGTCCCTGCCCACAGGACAGTCCGTGCCCAGGGACAGAGGGTGGCACGGAGGGGTCAGAGCCCCCTGAGGGTCCCACACCGAGGGCACAGGGACAGACACGGGTGCCCAGGGATGGACCCACGGCCAAGGGATGGCTCAGCCCGGTGGCACAGGCTGTGCCCAGGGACAGGGGTGCCCAAGGGACACCCTGGGGACAGGAGGGGACACTGGAGCTGCCCTCACTTCTGCTGGTACTCCTTGATGAGCCGCTTAGCCTTGCTGTACTTTCTCTCCAGGGTCTGGTACTGGGCCTGGGTCTCCTTGAGGTGCTCGTCCACGGCCTGGCACAGGTTCTGGGCCTCCATCCAGTACCCCTCGAGCTTCTCCATGCGCTCCTTGTTCTCCTCCACGCTCTGCTCCAGCTGGGCCTTCTCGGCCCTCCAGCGCGCCTTCTCCTGCTCCAGGCTCTGCAGCTGGGGACAGCGGTGTCACCACGGGCTGTGGCACGGCCAGGGGACAGCCAGGGGACATGGGACAGGCAGGGGATGGGACGTGGCACAGAATGTCATGACGTGGCACAGCCAGGGGACAGGAATGGAACATGGCACGGCCAGGGGATGGGATGTGGCACAGCCAGGTGACAAGAGCAGGACATGGAATGGTCTGTGCAGGGAAGCTGGAGAAGGACATTCAGGGTGCCAGGGCAACTGTCAGGGTGTCCCCCCACCCCTGGTCCAGCCAGGACCCCCCCTCACCTTCCTCTTGAGCTGCTGGATCTCAGCCTCGGTCACGGCGTGTTTGATCTGGAGCTGTGGGAGAGCCGCGGTGGGCACAAGGTGGGCACGGGGTGGGCACAGCCCCCCAGGTGAGCACCCCCTGCCCTCCCCCAGCCCCTCCTCACCTCCTTGAACTTGTGCACCAGCTTCTCGGGGTCCATCTCCACGGGGGACAGCGTGTCCTCGTTCTCGGCCAGCTCGAACACCTCGATGGCCATTTCCCCGCTGGGGAACATGGGGCTCATCTCCTCCTCCTCGTCCGTGGCGTATTCCCCGGTCTGCGGAGGGGCACGGGGCGGGGTTGGCACCCGGGGGTGTTCCTGCCGTGCCCCCCCAGCCCCGCGTGCCCTGTCACCTCCTCGTCATCCTCGGTGTACTGGCTGTAGCGCTGCTCCATCATCTCGCGCTGCCACCGCTCCTGCTCCAGCGTCTGCTGGATCAGCTGAGCCACCTCGCTCTGCTCGCCCGGCTTCTCCCGCCCGATCAGGAACCTGGGGGGCACCGGGGGGTCAGGGGGGCACCGGGGGACACCCAGGGGGACACCCAGGGGGACACAGCCAGGGGACACCCAGGGGGACACCCAGGGGGACACAGCCAGGGGGCATTGAGGAAACACAGCCAGGAGACATCGAGGGGACAGCCAGGAGACACAGCCAAGGGACATCGAGGGGACACACCCAGGGGACATCCCTGCATCCCTCGCTGGGAGCAGAGGGTTCAGGGGGCGTTGTGGAGACTGGGGATGAGTTGGGAGCACTTTGGGGCGCACCAGGGTGACACTCTGGGGGGAGATGGGGCACAGGCTGTGGGGCAGGGGGCTCAGCAGGGACTGGGGGGTCTCGGGGGGCTCCCCACACCCCCCAGCTCGTACCGGACACGGCCCTTGGTGTTCCTGAGCACGGAGGCAGCGAAGCTCTGCGTGACCCCCACCAGGCTGGTGCCATCCACCTCCACGATCAGGTCGTTCACCTGGATCCTGGGGACACGGGCACTGTCACTGTCACTGTCACTGTCCCTGCCAGCCCCGGGGGCACACCTGGAGCCACGGCCACGCCCCCCCCAGCCGTACCTGCCGTCCCGGTGCGCTGCCCCCCCTTCCGTCACCGTCTTGACGAAAATTCCCAACTTTTCCAGGCCCATGTCGGCCCCCGCGCCCATCCCGATGATGCTGATCCCGAGCCCTTCGGAGTCTGCGGGGACACAGAGCCGTGTCCCAAAGGGTGGCACCTCCTGGGCTCCCCTGGGGGTGGTTTTTTTTTTTGGGGGGGGGGGGGGGGGGATTCGTGTGAACTCTTCCTTTCTTGTACCCTGCCACTAGTATTGTTGCTAAAATTGTTTGTTTTGGGGGGGGGGGCAGGACCCACCTTTCTCCAGCTCCACGGGGAAGAGGTCGAGCCTCTCCACCCTCTTCTCCAGCTCGTACTCGGCCGAGGCTGCCATGGGATCCACGTCCTCATTGCGGCGATCGTAATCCTCGTTGGAGTAAGTGCTGAACACCTGGGGGGCACAGGGGGGGCTCAGCCAGGGCGGGGGGAAACCCCACGGGCACCCCGGGGTGGGGCTGAGCCCGTGGGACCCCAAATTGTCCCAGATTGTCCCAAATTGTGCCATGGGGTGAAGGGGAGGTGGGGGAAGGACAAAGGGAGAGGGGACAGTGAGGGGATGGAAAAAGGGAGAGAGGGAAGGAAGGAAGGAAGGAAGGAAGGAAGGAAGGAAGGAAGGAAGGAAGGAAGGAAGGAAGGAAGGAAGGAGGGAAGGAAGGAAGGAAGGAAGGAAGGAAGGAAGGAAGGAAGGAAGGAAGGAAGGAAGGATAAATGTGCCTCAAAACCCCCAGGGTGCTTCAAAACCCCTGGGGCACCCCTAAACCTCCCTGGCCGGGCTGGGATGTGTCCCCAAGCTGTTGTCCCCAGGCTGGTGCCATCCCTGTCCCCTGGGGACTGTCGGGGAGGGGCTGCCAGGGCCTGGCAGATGTCCCTGGAGGGGCCCCGGCCCCTGGGAGCGGGGGGGATTAGGGATAACACACGGGGATAAAGCCTGGCCACAAAGGGTATTAGGGCTGAGTGTCAGGGGACAAAGGCTGGTGACACCCAGGGATGGGCAGGACCCACCCGAGTGGCACCCCGGGGTGACAGGGGACACACCATTGTCCCCCTGTCCACAGCAAGTGCCCGGGGGGCTGTGGGGGTCCCCTGCTGTGCCCTGTCCCCGGTTCCTGAGGGGTTTGGGATGTGTGGGGGGGCTGGAAGGGGCTGGAATGTGCCCCCAGTGCTGGGCTGGGTGGGGGTCCCCAATGTCACCCACCCCCCCCAGGGGGTTTGGGGTGCTCAGCATCACCCGGGCAGAGTCTGGGGTGCTCTGACACCTGGGTGTGCACCCCACCCCCAGCTGAGAGGCTTTGGGTTGAGCAGAGCACCCCAAAATCCCCCAAAATCCCCAAAACCCCATCCACGGCCAGGCTACCGTCCCCAGGCCGGGCTGGCCGCATCCCACGGGCCCGAGGCCACCCTCAGCCCCCAGCTCAGGGCCACCACTGTCCCCTGGCCTGTCCCCCGTCCCAGGTGGGGCCACCCACCCGCTCTGACTCAGAGCCAGAATTTAGGCCGGGCTCTAAAAATAACCCGGCTCCGGCACAAAGCAAGCGCGGCTCCTGCGGCCGGGGGGATCCGTGCGGGAGGAAGGGAGGGAGGGAGGGAACACCCCAAAATAACCGCACGGCCCCTTTATCCCCCCCCCCAAAAAACCCCCAGGGGAGACCCCGAACCCCGCAGGATCCGTGCCGGGAGCGGGGGGTGCTGCCGCCCACCCGGCCACGCTGCCGAGGCACTTCCCCTTCCTCCCCTTCCTCCCCTTCCTCCCCTTCCTCCCCTTCCTCCCCTTCCTCCTCTGCCTCCACTTCCCGAAACCGTCCTGGGCACCGTGCTGGGCACACGGGGGGCACATCCCCCCCCATGGCCACCTTGTCCCCAGGGACCCCCGGGCTGGGAGGAGCCCCAGGATGGCCCAGCCCCGGCCCCCAGCGCTTCACTCTGGGCTATTTCGGGCATCCCCACCCAAAATATGGAGCGGTTTTGGCCCGGCCTGGGCACGACGCGGGGGTTGGCACTGGGTGCTGTGCCTGGCGGGTCCCAGTGTCACCTGTCCCCACCACAGCGGGTCCCAGTGTCACCTGTCCCCACCGCAGCGGCCCTGGGGGTCCAGGGATTAACCATCTTCATTAACCAGCTAATTAGCCAGGCCCAGGCCCTGCTTCTCCCAGCACAGGGACAGGGACAGGGACAGGGACAGGGACAGGGACAGGCCCTGTCCCCTGGGTGGCACAGGGAATGGGCACACAGAGCCCCAGCCCCTTCTTCTGTGCCCGCCATAGGGGTGATTCTGTGGGGGTCACACACCCCATCACCCTGGGGTACCCCTGCCCACGGCACCCCTCACCTGGGGTACCCCTGATCCTGGCACCCCTCACCTGGCTGCCCTCCCTCCCTCCCTCCCCAGCCTCCCCCACGCCCAGCCAGGCTCACCTGGATGGGGGCTCACCTGGATGGGGGCCGTGCTGAACTGGATTTTGCGGTTGGGGACGGGCTCCTCTTCCTCGGACAGCCCCGGGATCTCCACGCAGCCCGACTCGGGCTCGTACAGCCCTTCGGCCTCCTCCTCCTCCTCCAGCCCGCTGCCCCCCGAGTCCTCCCCGAGCCCGCTGTAGGCACTTATGTCCACCAGGTCCGCCTCGGAGAAATCCTCCTTCTTGGCCTCCTCGGAGCCTTCGCCCTCCTCCGCCCGCTCGCCCTTGACGCCCTCCTCGCCCGTGGCCACCCCCGAGCCCCCGTCCAGCCGGGGGGCTGCGGCCGCCGGACCCTCGTCCCCTTTGGCCGCTTGGGGTTCGGGAGGCGCTTCACCCACCACGGCTGCTTCCTCCTCCTCCTCCTCCTCCTCGCCCTCTCCGCTCTCCTCCACCTCCACGGGTTTGATCTTGCACACCTCCTGCACCCTTGGCGCGCTCGCCTCCTTCTCCGCCGGCCTCCCGCTCTTCCCCGCCGCCTTCTCCTTCTCCTCGTCCTGCTGCCGGCCACGAGCCGGGCCAGCGTGGCCATCACCCGGGCGAGCGGCCTCGGTGCCAGGCGCGAAGACTCTCGGCCTCTTGGCCACCACCTTGGCGTTGAGCGGCGCGGCCGCCCTGCCCTGCGCCTTGTGCAGGTTGTTCCTCAGGTCGGCCTTCTCGAACACGGCGCTGAGCTGGCTCACGGTGGGCGACACCGCGTCCGCGTCCAGCTTGTCCAGGGACTCGGTGCTGCCATTGAACCTCACCACCACGTCCAGCTTGCGGTCCTGGAAGCCGGCGCGCTCCTTGCGCAGCAGCAGCTTGGTGGTGGTGGCTTTCTCCTGCGGGCTCCTCTCGAAGATCTTGCGGGTCTCCTGCAGCTTCGAGAAGGGTTTGTCGGGCTTGGAGTCGAAGCGGCTGACGCGCTCCGAGACGCTGGTGCCCAGCTTGAGGAGGTTGCCCTGGTCCACGCTGTCGCCGAGGCTGCCGGCCCGGGGCAGGGACAAGCGCACCGGCTTCTCCTTGGCCTTGGCCAGGTCGCAGGAGCCCTCGGGGCCGGGCGCCGTCCCCATCTGCAGGAACATGTTCTTGATCCGATGCACGTTGGAGCCATACTTCTTCCCTCGGCTCTTCTTGCCGTCCTCGCCATCGGCCTCCTTTGTGGGAGCCAAGGCCTGGATGGTGGCCTCGTAGGCGTTCCGGTGCGGGGACGCGCTGCGCAGCCCCCCCCCGGCCCCCGCCGCGCCCCCGGCCGAGGGGGAGCCCCCGGCCCCGCCGGCCTCGGTCCTCAGCATGGTCCCGGCTCCCGCATCGCTCGCCGCCACCGCCGCCGCTGCCCCCGGGCCCCGCGCCCGCTACCGCGCCATGGGCGGGGGGCTGTGCCGGGGCAGGGGGGGGCTGTGCCGGGGGGGCAGCGCTGCCCCGGCTCGGTCAGGCCATGGCCCCCATCCCGCGGGGCCCCTCCGCCGCGGCGCTTCTTCCTTCCTGCCTTCCTTCCTTCCTCCTCCTCCTCCTCCTCCTCCTCCTCTTCCCCTTTCTGCGCGCCGGTGATGGAGCCGCCGCCGCCGCCGCCGCCGCCGCGCTCTGCCCGCCCCGCTGCCCGCAGAGCCCTCTGGGTCTGAGCAGCGCTCGCTCCTTCCTCTTCCTCAGCCGCGCTTCGGCCTCAGCGCCGCCGCCGCCGCCGCAGCCCGGCCATGGGGACCCCCCCCCCTCCCCTGCGCTCGGCTCCGCTCCCCGTGCCCGCACCGGGGTCCCCTCCCTGCGGCGGGGCCCCCCCGGCAGCGGCGCTGTGCAGTGTGGGACCCCCCCACCCAAACCGCCCGCTCGGCCGCTGGTGCCACCCCCCGGCTCTGTCCCCGTGTGTCCCCCATCCCCAGTTCTGTCCCCGTGTGTCCCCCATCCCCAGTTCCGTCCCCGTGTCCCCTTCCCCAGTTCTGTCCCCATGTCCCCGTGTGTCCCCCCCATTTCTGTCCCCAGCTCTGTCCCCGTGTCCCCCCAGTTTTGTACCCACCCCCCCGGATCTGTCCCTACATCCCCCCCATCCTGTCCCCAAATCATCCCCCCCCCTTCCCTCATATCCCCCCGAGTTTGTCCCCGTGTACCCCCATCCTGTCCCCATGTCCCCCCATCCTGTACCCGTCCTGTCCCCATGTCCCCCATCCTGTCCCCATGTCCCCCCATCCTGTACCCGTCCTGTCCCCATGTCCCCCATCCTGTCCCCGTGTTCCCCCCCCCAGTTTGTCCCCACGCCCCCCCATCCTGTCCCTGTGTCCCTTCCGGGTCTGTCCTCGTGTCCCCCCGTTCCTGTCCCTGTGTCCCCCCAGTTTTACCCACATGTCCCCCACCCCGAGGCCTCCCCCCAGCCCCGGGGTGTCCCCCCAGGACCCCAAATTCCTTCCTGGCCCCCCCCAATCCCTGCTGGGGGTGCAGCACATCCCTGACAGTGCCACTCGGTGGTGACAGGAGGTGACACTGTGACACTGTGCAGTGCAGCCCCCGCTTTCTGCACGGCCGGGGGATATTTTGGGGGGGATATTATTTTGGGGGGGATATTTTGGGGAGGTTATTTGGGTTTTTTATCTTCCCACTGGCAGCCCCGACCCCTGTGGCCGTGTTGGGGTCCCTCCTATGCCAGGTGGGGGACGGGACAGGCGACACCCCGGTCCCCAAGGGGGGCAGCAGGACCCTGCAGATGTGCGGTTGTCCCCTCCCCGTGTCACCCAAGGCCCTTTGTGCGTGACGAGGCGTGACGCGACACGGGGGGCGGCCCCCCCACGACCACCCCTCCCCTTCCGCCGCTGCCATCGCCCCCCCCCGCACGTCCCTGTCGCTGTCACCCCTCTCTGTCCCAGCACACGCGTGTTCCCCTCTCGCCGGTGGCCATCCTGGGGGATGCCTCGGCTGTCCCCAAGCGTCCCCAAGTGTTCCCCCCACCGCCACCCCGCTATCCCAGAGTGGGGACACCGGGACAAACCCGCCCTGGGGACACCCCAGGGTCCCTCGGCAGCCCCGGAGCTCCGTGTCCCGGTGACAGGAGGTGGCGGTGCCGGCGTGTCCCCTGTGGGACCCCCCCGAGGGCCCCCCCGGCCCCGCTGGCCCCGTCAATCAGCGCTGGCCCTGTCCCTGTCCCCGCTCCCGGAACATGGAGGGCCCCGCGCTGCTCTGGGTGCTGGCAGGCGAGTGACAGCCCTGTCACCCCCCGGGGGACATGGCCGGGCCTGGGGGACCCCCGGCAGGGAGGGGAGGGGGGACCCCAGAGTGGGGGGGGCACGGGGGGTGCAAATCGGGGGGGACGGGGCTGGGACGTGACAGAGCTAAAAAAAGCCACCGAGTGCCACCGTGGGACAGGCGGGGGGACAATGAGTGGGACTCGCGTGTGACAGCCAGGCCCAGGGGACCTGCTGGGCCCACCCTGTCCTTGTCCCCATGCCATCCTTGTCCCCATGCCATCCTTGTCCCCTGTCCTGATCCCATTCTGTCCCTGTCCCCATCCCTGTCCTGTCCCTGTTCCTGTCCCCTCCCAAACCTCCTCCCGCTCTGCCTGGGCACAGCTGGCACTGCGGGGACACCTTCCTGTCCCTCCGAGTGTCCCAGGGCTCTCTGGGCACCGGAGAAACTGAGGCAGGGAGGGGCCGTGGGCCCAGCCCCGGCTCCAGCCCCGTGTGTGGCCACAGCGCTGGCCCTGGGGGTGGCCCGGGCCACTGTCCCCGAGCACCGCGTCCTGCCCGACCTCCGCCTCTCCGCCGAGACCGGAGCCATCTTCGTGCACGAGCTGGAGCGGGAGCTGTTCCTGGAGGCCTTCTCTGGGAGCGAGGATGATGATGGTGAGGGAGCGAGGATGATGATGATGAGGGAGCGAGGATGATGATGGTGAGGGCCGGGATGGTAAAAGGAGGGAGGGGGGGGGCACTGCCCAATGCCCCCCAGCAGGATCGCCCCAGCCGGCCTGTCCGTCTGTCCGTCCATGCCCCCTCCACGCTTTCGGGGGTCCCCCAGCTCTGCCCCACTGCCCTGGGGGTCCCCTCAATTTGGGGTCACACCCCCAGGGACGATCCCCATTTCCTTGTGGAATGGGACCAGCTGGATGGGACGGTGGTGTCCGTGCCCACCCCCCCCGTGTCCCCCCGTGTCCCCACAGCCCCCGTGACCTTCCGTGCCCACCTGTGGGACCACCCGGACCTGCCGCGGTGGCTGCGCTTTGTCCAGCGGGACCCGGGCCAGCCCGGCTACCTGTATGGGTGCCCGCTGGCCCCCGAGCTGGGCACCCACAGCGTCCAGGTACGGCCCCCCCCACCCCTCCCGCAGCGTCCGGGGTCACCTAGGAGTGTCCCCACCCACCCCAGGTGTCCCCTGTGTCCCCTCAGGTGCTGGCCTACAACCGCCACACCTTCGCCACCGCGTCCCAGCGCCTCGTCATCAGCGTCACCCCCGCGCCAGGTGAGACCTGGGCACCCCCAAACCTCCCGGGGCGTGCCAGGTGAGACCCGGGCACCCCCAAACCTCCCGGGGCGTGCCAGGGGGATGTCCCCATGGGTGCCACCTGTGCCACCTGTCCCCGCAGGTGGGGACGCGCCGTTCCAGGCCGAGTTCCTGGTGGGGGACAGGAACGTGGAGGAGCTGCTGCCCGAGGCTGCGCGGGACCTGTTCCTGCTGGGCTCGTCCGGGGTCTGGGGGCGCGGGGACCTGCACGTCATCAATGTCACCTCTGCCCTGGACCGCGGGGGCCGCGTCCCGCTGCCCATCGAGGGCCGCAGGGAGGGGTACGGGGGGGGCTCCCTGAGGGGGTTTTGGGGTCACCTCCGACCCCCGACATGAGGGGTGGGAGGTGAACACGTGGGGTCTCCTCACCGGGGGTGGTTTTGGGGTCACCTGTAGGGTGTGCATCCAGGTGGGATCCCACGGCCTCTTGTGACCCTGGGTGGTTTTGGGGTCACCTGTCCGCAGGGTTTATGTCCAGGTGGGCTCCCACAGCCCCTTCTCGCCCTGCCTGGCCTCGGCCGTGTCCCCTCAGAGCCGCTCCCGCTGTCACCGGGGCCAGCGCCCGCTCGCCTCCTGCTACGACACCTTCGCCCCGCACTTCTCCATCCGCTGGTGCAACCTCACCCTGGTGAGACCCCCCAGAACCCCCCAGAGCCTCCCAGAACTCCCCAGAACTCCCCAGAACCCTCCAGAACCCCCAAGAGCCTCCCAGAACCCCTAGAACCTTCCCCAGAACCCCCAAGAGGCTCCCAGAGTCCCCCAGAACCTTCCCCAGAACCCCCCCAGAACACCCCGGAACCCCCCAGCCCCTCCTGACGCCCCCTCCCCCTGCAGCTCCAGGTCCAGCCCAGCCCCACCCCGCCGGGCCCGCTGTGGGGTCCGGGAATTCTGGGGGACGGCGGCGATTTCGAGCCCCCCAGCCCGGCCGCGACCCGGGAGTTGCTCCCCTCGTTCCTGGTGACCCTGCTGGTGCCGCTGGCGGTGGCCGCGCTGCTGGCCCTGCTCCTGGGCCACCTCATGTGCTGCCGCAGGGAGGGAGTGTGAGTCTGGGGGACAGGGGGGTCCCCCCAACCCTGCCGGGGTCCCCTGTGACCCTTGCGGGTGCTGAGAGCACTTCTCACCGGAATTATTGTGTTTTGTTGTTTTTTTTTTTTTTTTCCTTTTTTTCTTCTGATTTTATAGGGAAAAACGGGACTTGGAGACGTCTGAGTAAGTCCTGGTGGAGCTGTGGGGGTGCTTTGGGGGCGCTGCTTTGGGGGCGACACCCGGGCAGGGGGGGAGACCCCAAAGATGAGGGGCAGACCCCAGAAACCACGCACAGACCCCAGTGATGGGGTTCAGCTCTCACTTTTGGGGGGATCAGACCCCAATAAAGAGTGGGAAGATCCCTGTGATGGGGAGCAGACCCCAATAACGGGGTACAGACCCCAATAGAGGGGTACAGACCCCAATAGAGGGGTACAGACCCTGATTTTGAGGTGAAAATCCCAATTTTGGGACGTAAGCCCTAAGGACGGCTGTGCTGACCCCAGAGACGGGATAGGAACCCAAATATCGGGATAGGAACACAAATATCGGGATAGGAACCCCAATATCGGGATAGAAACCCCAATAGAGGAATAGGAACCCCAGTGATGGGATAGGAATCCAAATATCGGGACAGGAACACAAATAATGGAATATGAATCCCAATAATGGAATATGAACCCAAATATCGGGATAGGAACCCAAATATCGGGATAGGAACACAAATAACGGGATAGGAGCCCCAATGTCGGGATAGAAACCCCAACAGCGGAATAGGAACCCAAATATCGGGATAGGACCCCCAATATCGGGATAGGAACCCAAATATAGGGATAGGAACACAAATAATGGAATATAAACCCCAATAATGGAATATGAACCCAAATAATGGAATAGGAACCCCAGTAACGGAATAGGGACCCCAATACCAGGATAGGACCCCCAATATCGGGATAGGACCCCCAATACCGGGTCCCTAAGGGGGTGCCCCGGGCCCCCCGCAGCCTCCAGCTCTTCCACCACAGCTCCATCGCGGGGGACTCTCGCGAGCTGCGGCTCATGGCCTCGAGCCGGGCCGTGCCCCGGCCGCTCTCCACCCTGCCCATGTTCAACGTGCGCACGGGCCAGCGCAGCGACCCCATGGGCAACCTGCGCCACGGGGCCCGCGCCCCCCTGCTCCCGCAGTGAGGGGACACGGGGGACAGCGGGGACACGGGGGACAG